GCCAGCTGTTCTCCGAGTGGTCGGGCTAGAAAAAAATAAGGTTTTGATCCAAAGGGGGTGCAAAGTTTAGGTTTTAAAACTTGAAATCAAATCATTTTTGCTGAAGATTTTGAACGATTGCACAGTGTAACATTTCATCATTGAGTGTTCAGAGGAAAGCGTCCAAATCTTAAGAGCAGTCAAAATAAGGTGTCTATACCACCGCTTCTCTCTTTCTCTCCCTCTTTTCTTTTTCTGCAACTTGAACCGCACTCCCCAGCCGCCACTGCAACTTGGAATACCCATCTCTCCACTGCTGACACTATAACCCTTTATCGCAACCCATCTTCTAGATCCCCTCCACAACGCGACCCGACTCTTCCACCTTTCGATTCAATCTTTGTCTTTCTTTACGAAAGAGAGAGAGAGAGAGAGAGGGAGAGAGATTGATTTAGGTTTCCAGATCTAGAGTTTGAAGAGAGAAGAAAAAGTACTAGAAGGAAAAAGTGGCAAGGGTGGAAACAATGGGGAGAGGCCAACTTACAATCTCAAGCTATGGGAATTGGATTGATACATATTAGAACATTTCCGGTAGAGGCATGCCTTGTAAAAATGACTGGAATAGTACAAGCGATCTCCCCGGCTGTGAGAAAGGAGCTTCATGAGAAGCACCTCTAATGGTGGCGAATGAGAGGGTATCACCATAAACTTGAGTCCATCCACCAACCTGAATACAGCAATGCAAGCACAAAAAATTACTGTTTATAGCATTTTTGTCATTCAACACTATATCATAAAAGTGAACAGATCGTTTTGTTGTTGACACTTTTTTTTGTTTCCAAAATTGTCCATCAAAAATCACTCTCTGACCTTCCATAGAACTTTGTAAGGGTAAAATTATAGAATTCACCAGTCAAAATCAAAATTTTAAATAAACATTTGTTTCTAGAGATTACCTGTTGCCCTCCAAACCAAACACGATATGGTACAGTCGTGTTCAATCCCAATTGATTTGCCAGCCCACGAACCAAGGTTCGGCTTCCAGTCAGTGGAATAACAGAATCTTGATCACCACTGCTCGCAAGAATTTGTAATTAGCATAACATCAAGAAAGACTGCAAAACTTCCAGCCAATCTAATTAACGATCATGAATGAACCATGACTCTGATTTTTCACCTCACCTGTAAACCAAGACTCGAATTCCAGCCTTAATAAGTTCTCCAACTAAAGAGATTGTAGGTATCTCCACATCTAGCAGCTCATAATCTAGAATGCTGTGGTAAAACAAGAAATGGTCAAATTTTCTAGCTGTGGCTCAATTCATACAATATAAGTCATTTTCTCATTTTCCTAAGAAATTTTTTTCTTGTTGTTACTTCATTTTTTTGGCATGTTTAACAAACACTGTTCAATTATAATTGTATCTGTTCTTTTCCCCTTATGTGAGGATGAGAGTGTTTTAGATGTAAATTCAATCCAGTTGATCCTAGTGTTCCTTTATTGTTTTGTTCTTCGTTCAAACAGACATCAAGCAATCTTTTCACTCTTGCAATTTCTTAGACTGATAAAACAAGAAACCGCAAAGTGTCATAGTCCGCTTGAGCGATCATGAGTCTGCGTGAGCGATCTTTGCTACCTTGCAGCATCTCAACACTTCATTCTATAATCTTGCAGTCTTATAAATCGCTCGAGCAGTGTTAAGTTCACTCGTGCGGTCTAATTCGGCCAATTCAATTTTAACCACGCGTTTGAGATTAGATCTAGATCTAGACTCCGATTCACTTCCTTGAAGTGTGAAAAATAAGCTCGAGCATTCCAGTGAGATCCAAACTCTTACCTTGATTAATTGAGATTGATCTATTGATCATAGCTCCATAGATTGGATATCATCAAGGATTTCTACTTCAATTACACTTTTCAAGAGAAGAGTTCTTCCGTGGATTTCAGGAATTTAAGATATTGGAAACTTTGGTGGATTCTAGAGTGAGCTTACCATCGTGGATCTGACTTCGGAGAAGCAATCCATGGTGTGATGGTATTGGAAGTGGCAGAAGAGATTGAGTCAATCGGACATGGATTCGCTAGGTGATTGGATGAAAATTCTTCATGTAATCCCTCTTCTACATAGTGAATTGTTTTGTGGTCGTTGACCAGAGATTTTTTTTATCACAATTAGAGGTGTCCAATTGTGGTTTGTCCACGTTAAATTTGTCTTGTCCTTAATTTTCTTAGATCTAATTTGACTTCTTTGAATTAGATTAGATTAGATCATATTGTGGTTGTGTAATTTGTTCAAATGGTTGAGTGATTGGTGGAATTGAATTCTAAGTACAAATCAACGTATATCAAACTTAGGGATTTACCAAATTTCATTTCAAAAAGTTTGGTGATCTATTAGTACCGCAAATCATAGTCATCAAAGGCATCATTGTTCTTTTCTGTATACATTAAAAAGAAAAATTCCAACCCACAACAAACAGTCTTTTTACATCAATAAAATATGGAAAAGAAAGAACTGCATGTACTCTTTTTGCTTCTCTTCTTACAGAAAAACCTCTTCTACTTCGACAACTATTTACCAACAACAAGCCAACTTACAATCTCAAGCTATGGGAATTGGATTGATACATATTAGAACATTTCCGGTAGAGGCATGCCTTGTAAAAATGACTGGAATAGTACAAGCGATCTCCCCGGCTGTGAGAAAGGAGCTTCATGAGAAGCACCTCTAATGGTGGCGAATGAGAGGGTATCACCATAAACTTGAGTCCATCCACCAACCTGAATACAGCAATGCAAGCACAAAAAATTACTGTTTATAGCATTTTTGTCATTCAACACTATATCATAAAAGTGAACAGATCGTTTTGTTGTTGACACTTTTTTTTGTTTCCAAAATTGTCCATCAAAAATCACTCTCTGACCTTCCATAGAACTTTGTAAGGGTAAAATTATAGAATTCACCAGTCAAAATCAAAATTTTAAATAAACATTTGTTTCTAGAGATTACCTGTTGCCCTCCAAACCAAACACGATATGGTACAGTCGTGTTCAATCCCAATTGATTTGCCAGCCCACGAACCAAGGTTCGGCTTCCAGTCAGTGGAATAACAGAATCTTGATCACCACTGCTCGCAAGAATTTGTAATTAGCATAACATCAAGAAAGACTGCAAAACTTCCAGCCAATCTAATTAACGATCATGAATGAACCATGACTCTGATTTTTCACCTCACCTGTAAACCAAGACTCGAATTCCAGCCTTAATAAGTTCTCCAACTAAAGAGATTGTAGGTATCTCCACATCTAGCAGCTCATAATCTAGAATGCTGTGGTAAAACAAGAAATGGTCAAATTTTCTAGCTGTGGCTCAATTCATACAATATAAGTCATTTTCTCATTTTCCTAAGAAATTTTTTTCTTCTTGTTACTTCATTTTTTTGGCAATCAATTAGGATATTAAAGGCAACACTCACTCTCATATATTCTCTAATCATCAACCAATTATATCACTTACACATCATTGAGTTCAGAAAATGGGTCTAGAAAGTGGACTTCAAATCAGCCTTTTTTTTTAGGAAGCTTCTTTTTATATTCTAGATTCCAATTTGACTCAATCTGTTATTTTTGTCAATTTTTTTTGACTTTATGTAATCTTGGCCCTATTTGGGGCAAGCAATGTTCAATGTAAATTGAGTTGTATGCCTTTGAGACTATTCAGTTGTTTTGAGTAATAAATTTTCAGCCAAGTATATCTTTTCTATATTGCTCGTGTTTTCCTTGTGTTCTTGTTCATTCTATAAGCTTCCCATACATCACTATCTCAGTTAAAAAAGGGGAGGAAGAAGAAGAAGACATACTCACTGCAAACAACCCATCTGTTTACTCCAACAAGCCGGGCATGAAATGCGTTCTGCACATCTTGTCTGTTTAAATAATTGACAGTTTCATCTTCGACGCACACATCAATCTTTTCACCAACTTGCTGCAAGTAAGAAAAAGACAGATAATTACAAACAATATCACATAACAGAACTGAACAAATTAGAGTGAAATGAAAAAGCCAAGAGACTTTGAGAAGGGAAGGCCTACTTGAGGACTAATTTTCTTGGACTGTGAAAGCACGGATGAAATACAGACATCGAGTGTGACATCATATTTGTCCACAAATCTACTGGTTTCTCTGCTCACTTGGCTCATAACCTTTGAACAAACAGGTGAAACTGAGCTTCTGTAATACTCGCTCACATACCGCGAATAATTACATGAAGAAGTGAATATTTTGTATGTCGAATCTGATATTAACCCATGAGACCAAAAGAACTCTGCCCTTGAATTAAAGTCTGTAGCGAACTCCAAAACCGGATTACCCAACTGCAACAGAAAGAAAGGAAAAAGGAAATCAGTTTAGCTAGTTGCAATTGATCATTAGAAATATGATGTTAGAATTTGGGTAATTTTTACAGTATATGCATTTCTTTTTACTTGAAATTATAGGTTTTGCATAGGAAAGTACTTACAGCAACGCCTTTCAAATTGAATAACTTTTCCTTTTGATTGAATTCAGTCATTAGTTTTGCAAGTTGAGGAATATAGTGACCTGTCATCAACAAGCAAAACAAAAGGATCTGTCATATATGTTTGGTGCTTTTGGTTTTTCGCTTTTGTTTTCTATTTTGTCAAAAACAATAAAATTGAAAAACAAAAACCATCATTTTCATATTATTTTTATTTTTGGAGCGAAAGCTGTTTTCAAAAATGCGAAAAGCAACTCTTTTGGTCCTAAAAAATGGGTTATTTTTATATTTTTGTTTTTTCAAAAACAGTTTTTTGGAAGAAGTTCCCCAAACAAAGAGATGATGGTGTGGGCTGCAAAGGGTACCTGCATAGCTTTCTCCTGTGATGAACAGATCCCTATGCATGTATTGGGGGAACTTGAGGAACCATCTTTGCAAGAACACAAGGTTATCCCTGGCTTCACAATTATTAAAATATGAACTTAGCTTTAGAAGAGACAAAACTTAATTAATAACAACTCAGACAACAAATAGAACTCAATTTTCTCTATCCACAAACATGTGTACTTTATAAATTAGCATGAATTCAAGTAATGAAACAGTTAACATTTTAGTGAAAGCTAAACTTGGATAGAATTTAGAAAACCCTTACTTATAAAGGAAAATGATTTGACTTATAAACTAAGCATATAGTCTTTTTGCTGTTACTTCTAAACAAACACCTATGCTTATATCAGTAAATTGTGTCCTCTATATTAGATTAACAATGAAAATTTAAAGAATGGTGGCTTTGGCTATCTGCTAAGAAAGAGGTTTTGGGTTCCATTCCCACTGTTTTTGAGACCACCCTAGGATTTATGTCGGGTAATTATTTAGCATGTGTGAGGTGAGGTTTACGAGCGTGTTTGGTGCAAATTTCAACAAGTTGAAAACTCTCCTCTTACTCCCAATAATAAGCTCGGCACATACTTCAAAAAAAATGTAATATATATTATATAACCAACTTCATAAACTACACCAAACAGCTCTTATATGTATCTGGATAAAATAAAATTAAAAAAGAAAAAAGAAGAAGAAGTGAATTACAAGGATGAAACATACCAGTTTTTCAACAAGCTGAAACCTCTCCTCTTACTCCCAATAATAAGCTTGGCACATACTTCAAAAAAAATATAATATATATTATATAACCAACTCCATAAACTGCACCAAATAGCTCTTAAAATAAAATAAAATGAAAATTGAAAAAGAAAAAAGAAAAAAAGAAAACACACCATGATAAAACTCCGAACACGCCATGATAAAATAAAATTAAAAAAGAAAAAAGAAGAAGAAGTGAATTACAAGGATGAAACATACCAGTTTGTTGATCAGACACTGCCTCATAGGAGGAGGCATCAGTTGAATAAGAAAAACCCACTCCCACTGGGGTTTCCAAATACAACATGTTTGCTTCTGAAGAATCGCATATTAGAATAAAAACATCAATTTTTTTTTTCCTACTTTTCCAAGCAGGATTACATAATTTTGATGTGAATCACACATACCTCTGTTCCAGCTATACTCATTTTTGCTTCTGAAGAATCGCATATTAGAATAAACCAACCACATTGAATTCTAAATCAATTCAAAACTCTCAAGAACGATAACTTAGTGACTATGAAATGTATCAAATTAAGTACATGGCTACAACAGATCTCATCAGTCTAGGGAACTCACAGCATTGGCTGCCTTTTCGTCTAAATTATTTTGAAGTATTATAGTGTATGCAATCAGTTGGTAAAATTTGCAGAATGTACAATGTGCAATTTGCATTTTGCACCATAGTAATTACTACAGAAATTGTAATCATACGTCAGAACGCAGAGTGTGAAAGTACCCAATTAGAGCAAATTTAGAAGCAGAGTATACGGCCTGACCTGGTGTAGGTGTCTTCCCTGCAGCACTGCTCATCATCAGCTAAAAATGCATCTTCATCTAGATAGCAAGACTTTTTCTTTCATCATTCAAAAATTGAACTGATTTAAAAGCATTTCAAAAACCAAAGGGATATGGTGCAAAAAAAGCAATGGAAATGCAACGAATCATTAGAAACATAAACTAAAACTTATCAATATGTATATACTAGCAGTAACCCATGTTATGCATGAACCTTATATTCCAAAATGAGTCACTGTAGCCATCTCATAATATAAAATTTGTGATGATATAATTATACCACTTGAATTTTGTGCATAGATACTAGCCACATATCAAGAAAATGGGTTAAAGAGAAAAATAAGAGCAAAAGGGATTAGAGTTCGTAGTGGAAGGACATACCAGAAAACTATTTCTTGACTCTCTAATTCAGCTTCATTTCAAGCAGAAATGATAAGCTTAGCACCTAAACTTGCAAGTTGTTTGGCAAGAACCTCCCATTCCATCCAATAGTAAAGAGAAAAATAAGACTTTCTATAAAACATGGAACAAATGAAGCTCCAAAGTAGGAAAAACTCACACAACATTTTGGAAAATAAGAGGAAAGATGCCTAGAGTGAAAGAACCAAAACTAGAGCTCAAAGCGTCAGTAATTGGAAAAAGATAGAGGAACTAAAATAAAATCTCATGCTTCCAAATTATTTTCTTTATGATTAAAAAAATATATGGAAAAGGCCAAAATCTCGAACACCTAACCCATTTAAACAAGTTTAAAGACTTGATTCAACATTAAGGCCAGGTTTCATCAAGAGATAATGTACACACCTGCAAAACATTAAGCATCATCTTAAAATCAGTAAAGCACAAAAGTTACCAGGGCATTCAAAGTTAACAATAAGAACCCACCAGAAGTCATCAGTCCTTTTCTTGGTTGCATTTGAAAGGTGGTCATTCCAAAATTACATAATAAGCTCAAAACTCGAATATTTATATTTAATAGAGAACCTTCTAGCAAATGAAACAACCATCTAGAACAATATTTATATTTATGTTTAGTCTTGCAATGAACAAACTACAAGTACCGTCCGGAATGGTCTAGATTGATAATGTATAACTTTATGAAAGTGTCCAAAATGAAAATAAGGAATAACGACTGGTGAACACAACATTGTAGAGCTTCAAAACATGTTTTTACTTCTGCCATGAGCACAGAAAGAGCCACAAAAGAGAATTGCTTATATGCTAGTGCATGCCCTCTATGGTTCATGGCAGCCCATGCAGTGCAACACCTGCTTGATTTGTCCACTACATCCAAGAGTCATCAATCAAAATCCTGTCAAAACACCAATTTGGGTTATTATAATATTATAGACAGAAATTGATTATAAAAGATGGAAACGATCATTTCAAAAACATAAAAAATCAAGCAATGAGAATCTAGAAAATGCATAGATATTTTATTGAAAGCAAACCTACCAAACTATCTTACATGGACTTGGGTATGTATCTAGAGGTTGGAACCCATCAAATCTCATATTTAAGAAGACATGTACTTGGCAAAAAATGGTCATATTTTTATATTTTTAATCTATTATGTGAAATAAAATGATGTTATATGTAACATACAGTGTCAAAAAGACATTTTATTCATTTTATAGTAATTATAGAACAATATATACATAATGATATTGTTAAATACAATTATATAAATGTCCAATGAAAAGTATCCTATACATATCTTACACCCTTATCCAAACGTCGGGTGTCCGATAAGAGTATTTGATTTACTTTAAGGTGTCCATGTAACTCAGTGGGCCTTCCAACCACCATCTCTAAACATACACATAACATCTGTAGATAGAGAATACAGATTACTCACATTTGGTAGTTTAAGGTAACCACTAGGGGCCAAGTGAGCCTGCAACCCACAAATTAAAATCCAGTGCACGAAGTCTTATTAGAGAACATAATAAGATTTAAAATTGACAAGAAGTGAAGAGAAGCATACAACCAATCTTCTCTTCAGAAGTTCACATGTAAGAAAGTTTTCCAACACTAGTAAAGTTGTATAACTGAATCAAGTTCGAGAGATGTATACTTGGACATCAGCAATGTAGACCTCTGCCAGACTGCAAAAGCAAAAAATTAGGTTTCAAATTAAAAATTATTACGATGTTATAACGTTTATTTAAATCCAAACCGACAACAGGCTTATGTATTTGATTTTGAGTTATAGAACTCTAGGATTTAGTTACACTCTCCGCCAAACAGATTTAAAGTTCCCATGCGATGTGTTGTTTGCCCCAAAAGTCTGAATTGAAATTTAAAAGAGAATAATAAGACACTCACCCTTAGAACTGTTTCTTTTTATATAGATAAGTAAACTTCAAATGGTGCCATACCCTCTTTATACCCTGTTCTTTCTCAGCAAAATTGGGATAATCATAATATGCCATCCCCTACTTGTACTAGAATCCATCAAGTTACACATAAATCTCCAACTTATTACTCCCTTCCTACATTGCCCTATACCCTCTCCGCACTTCGTATCTGAAGGAATTTTAAATATTGTTGAGTTTGATGCGATAATAACAAAGAGATTATAACCGCACTTACACCACAAAGAGGAACAGAAGCTGTACCAGCATGAGGTCCTCCTAATGAGACAAAAAATTTGACCTGTTCCATAAAAGGGAGAAAATTGTCATTGTCAAAAACTCGGGAGTTCAGGAAAGAAAGATGTATTAAACTACATTACAAAACAAATGTGCCATTGCACTGACCATTTGGCTCCTTATGTCATTAGAGATAGTTTCAAAACCACAATTAGAAGGAAAAAATGTGACTCTAGAAAGCAACCAGTAAATGTCAAATAGGATAATTCACCCATTCCAAAGGTACATATTAGAAAAGCATTGACACTTCTAAGAAGGTAACGTGTTTGTGTCCAACACACGTCAGACATACTCTCTCTCTTCTAAGAAGGTACATATTAGAAAAGCATTCACATCAATTTGTTTTCATAAATAATTTCAAACAAAAGCAGAAAGAGTGAGAAAAAAATGAGAGATTCAAACAAAAAATAGGAACAGATTGAAACAAAGAACAAAGAGGTAAAGATCAACAAAATGTAGATAAACAAACATGTAAACGAACACATCAAACACTTAGCATTTTTAACATATGAAACATAAGTAAATTTCAATGCTAAAAAAAATATAAGGGATTAAAAAAAAATTGACAAACGTCAACCAAACCATCCATCATAAATTCATGACTATCCAATACCTCCAACATTGAAGTAGCAACAAATAGTCAAAACAACTTAAATAATGTAAAGTTAGAAAATAACCCATAATGCCAAACTATCAAAATACTAAAGTCATAAAATAAATAAATAAATAAACTAATATGAACCCTAAACTTCAGAAAACAAAAGAAGTCCGAAAGATGTGTCCTACAATCGTAGTTATTTCTTGTCACCACTGTAGTCCTAACTAATCCTGCAAAGAAAGCTCGGCTGTGCTCAAACAGAACGTACTCGAGATACCAAGAGACAAAACGGGTCAGTATACAAGTATACTGATATGAGTACAAAATTTGACACCCACTTATCCACCCGACACAAGCAAAAGTACATTTAATTCTTGTTACGGGACAAGACAATTAGTTCCACCCGCACCGAGATGAAGGGGTAGTTTCTCGAGATATGGTGGCATTTAGTTTCTTACCCGCATATAACTAAATATAAATTGAGTATAGGATAAACAAAATAAACATAAAAATTATGGTGGGTCAGCCATGCATAAACAGTTAGTAAGTGTCACAGCCCAAACCCGCCCCTATGAGTTTAGCACCGTAACCGGCCAGTAATCCGAGATTACCAAATGCCTGCTTAACAGTAATAGCAGTATTACAGAGTACAGGGGCTGGCGGAAGCCAAAACAGTAAATGAATGATGTCCAATGAGCTGTGACAGTCTGTATGCAAAAAGATTTTTCATAACATATTCACATTCAAAACAAAAACAGTATATACATACATCATTTACAGGCATTAAGGTTAGGGACCAAATCCCCACCATAACAGTACAATACAAATATTATTCGGTCTATACATAATAGAGACAAATAGGGTGAATCTGAGGCACCCCGAAAGCAGCCTTAGCTTGAACAGATCTGGAACCTCGAAGTGAGGCACAAAGGTTGGCTTGACAAAACAAGGGCTTAGCCTGACACTTCTAGCAACGGTCCGGTGCCTGAACACCTACATATATATATGAGCAGTGAGCTAAAACCCAGTGAATAACATATGCGTAAAGAGGTTAAGAATGAATGTCCTTTCAGTATTGAAAACAATCATTTATCAGTATATCAGTCATTCAGTTTGTGGCTCATATTTCATGCCATAACAGTCATTTAGAAACTATAATAGTTGTATGTGGTACATCCAATAGCAAAACAGTACAGTAGGTCTTAACAGACCGAATAGTCAGTTGATAGCCATCATATCAGTAAACAGTAGTGGTTCCAACATGGGAACCGGCAGAGATCTCTGTGACAGTAACAGTACAGTACAGTAACAGTAAATTGCTATGGATGCCACGAATACAGTTCGCAAATAGGACAAGTATTCATTCAGTAAGAAATAACATTTCAGAAAGCAGTACAGTTGATCATTCAGAAAATATTCATGATTGAATATATCTTTACGACATTGTTACTCACAGAGTTCTGGGTTACAGATAGGCTAGTGAGCGTCCTCGGATGCCAACCCTACACAGTTACAGGAAGAACACACTCTAAGTTGCACGTTTGGAAAATAATCACTTAGTCCCTATCTTGACTCGGTGTGGTTCTAAAGCATTATCCTCATTAAGATGCCTTAAATTAGGCCTAAGAATACCTAGGATGGAATGAGGATGCAAAGATGCATTTAAAAACACTTTTCAAAATTTTGCTGAAACAAGGTCCTGCTCGAGCGTGGGTTTCCCCGCTCGAGCGGACATGCAGACAAAAGAGCCCTGCTCGAGCGTGACTTACTCCGCTCGAGTGGACTGCAAAAGTACTGGATGGGTGAAATTCACGCTCGATGGGCGCTCGACCTCCGTTGGAGCGTAAGACACAAATCTTCGCTCGAGCGCGCATTCCTCCGCTCGAGCGGACTGCAAACACATGCAAAGTACTAGATACACGCATTTCCCGCTCGAGCGTCCCTTTCCCCGCTCGAGCGGACTACATGAACTCAGTGTGTACACTCGAGTGTGGAGTTCCCCGCTCGAGCGTGAGTCCAAAATCTGGAATTTTCAGATTTGAACCTCAAGCTCAAAACTCAACTTTAAAGCATCAAATTCGATCCTTTTGGGCTAATTTTCTGGAAAACACTTGTAAGCTCATAATATGACACGTTTCAAAGATCAATTTGAGAAATCAAAGCCCAAAGGTAGTTCAATTAAATACAATTTAAAAGAAGTTTTCATGAACATGATGAACATATGACATGCATGAATTCTAGTGAATTCTAATGCCTCAAAACATGATCCAAAGCAAGATTAAACTCAAAACCATGATGAACTCATGGACTAGGACAAGAATGTAAACTTGCATGCAAGATTTCATGAAAATTAACTTCAAAATGTAAGAATATGTACATGCATGCATGATTCAAGCTTCAATTCAACAATTTAAGCCATAACTTGGCTCTAAACTCCAACAATCCTCTAAACCATGCAAGAACCAACCCAAGATATGAACAAGAAGGTAAATTCTCTACCTTAAGTCTCCAAATTCAAATGTAGAAGCTCATATGCAAGGAATCCTTCAATCTCCTAAGCCGACAAGCCAATTCTTGATGAAATCAAACTATCTCCTATCTCTCTCTCTCTCTAGTCGGTTTATTGCTCTCAAAATGGTTGAAGAAATGTTGTGTCAAAAGTGTATGAAGTGGAGAGGGGTTAGCCTCGATTATTCCACTAGATGGCAAATTTGTAGATAAGTCCAACTTTTGTAATTTAACATTATTAAATCTAATTTAATTATACCAAATCACATTTCAATTAAATATACCATAAATCACATAAATTCTAACTAGCATAAAACATTACTCGATTTCAGATTTGGCTGCCGATAAGGCCTTCAATTTACAGTTTAAAGCGCAAAACATGAACAGATCATTCAACAGTCAACAGATAGAAATGCACTCAAGCTATATACTCAATCAATCAGTTCAGGATTTCAGTCAATCAGTCAATTAGCATGCTTAATCATAGATTAGCACTAATTAGTGGTGAGGGTTGTCACAGTAAGGCCCACCATTCTGTAAAAAAAAACAAAAAACAAAAAACAAAAAAACAAAAAAAAGAAGTATAATTTAATCATAAGTAAATTGTTGAAGGAGTATAAAAACGCATTGTTTCATGCTTAAATCATTCGAATTGACCAAAACTCAAAGAACAAAAGTTGTACAGAATCAAATTTTCTAAAAGGTATTATAGAAAAATTTAGTAGAAACTGAACATGTTGAGAGAAAAACTTAATAGAAGAACCTAAACAAAATTCGATTGAAAAATCTGGAATTGAAAACGAAAAGAAACTGCCCTAAAATGATTTTTTTCAAAGAAGCTCAGAACACGAAAAGTGTTCAAAATAATGTTTTACTTCAGTATTTATGAAATCAATAAAAATGAGCTCCTTTCATGGGTTAAAACAGCCTCTAAAATCTGCATTGCTAAAATGAATAAAAACTACTATAACCAAGATCATCCGATTATAAGTTCTAATCGATCTTTTTAGTATAAAGTTAAAATACAAAAGTTGTCTAGAATTACATATGCATGCCTCTGTCCAAATTTTTAATTTAAAAAGGTCGTTTACTATTTTTCGAGATGTACAAATTAAAGCAATTCAAACTATACCAATAAGTTCATATTTAATTATTTGTTCCTTAACTCCACTACTTTGGCCCTTCACTTCCGATCTACACATATATCCCATGTGTCTCCTATATACCTAAAACTGCTTCGAAGCCAAACTTGCACGAGGATATCATCCCCGAGTTTGACCCACACTCCTCGGATGGTTAGCATATACATACACGCGTAAATCAAAGCACTCATCTACTCCTGAGAACGAGGCAACAATATATATACACAATCCCTCATCTACTCATGAGAACAAGCATAGCAATGCCAAGCATAAGGCATTCAAATAAATCTCATAATCCTCATTTTTTCTTATACACTTTCTCACCAACACTCAAATAAAAAAACAATCAATGGAGTCATGGTGGAGTGTAAAGAATTGTAAGAAATTTATCTATGGGTTCCTAATTGATTTTAATTTCATATATCTATGAGTGTGATTACAACTGTATAATAAATACATATAAAAACTCTCAACCATGCATACACAACTAATCAAAATAATTAAAATCAATCTATCATCTACATACAAATACAAAATCAAACAACATCAAATAAATAAATAAAAACAACAAATTGAACATAAATCAAGAGAAGTGGGTTTTGCACTCACGATTATTTTTTGAAGAACAAAGAAATCTTGAAGAATTTGTGAAGCCGCCAAAACAAAGCCCTAACCCTTTTTTTTCTTTCTTTCTTCGTCTCTCTATTTTCGACTGCTCTCTTTTTTTTTTTTTTTCTTTTCTTGCTGATTACCTAATAACTATTCTAACCTAATTGATATATTATATAATATTATATAAATACAACATAAATATAACATATATAAATATAAATATAAGATCAATATTTATATTTAACACCTTTTACATATATAAAAATATTCAAATTAATTATACATAATTATATATCACATTAAATTAATTGA